AGGGTACTTACCACTGGCTGATGTAGCTCAGTTGTGTGACAATCTCAGGGTACTTACCACTGGCTGATGTAGCTCAGTTGTGTGACAATCTCAGGGTACTTACCACTGGCTGATGTAGCTCAGTTGTGTGACAATCTCAGGGTACTCACCACTGACTGATGTAGCTCAGTTGATTACAGCTATATATACAGTATATAATGGCTTAAGGTCCAGGACTTGAATCCTGGTCTAGACCCTTTCCATTTTTTAAGCTCAGAACATGGTTGTTGAATATATGTACTGTTTCTTAAAAGTTCTAAAGGTTCAGATTAGACGAGTGACTCTAGCTAATATTTCTGTCTTACAGGTGTGGTCTGATTGTGCTCAGAGAAAAATCACCGACCTGTGGCCAGTACCCAGCAACTTCCAAATGTAGGCCTCGAACCAAGGACCCAGTGGTGAGGTCCAGTAACTGGCGACTTCCCCATGTAGGCCTCGAAACCACGACCCAGTGGTGGGGTGCTAGTGGTTGTAGACAGTCAGACCAATACCCACTCAGCCACTGCAGCCAAAGCTTACAGCTAGGTTGTCATATAAGCTAGGTCAATCTGACCATGTATTGCGATTCACTCAAAATTCTACATTCAATAGTTCATTTATTATGCCAGTAATTATAGACATTATGTCAAAATGGTGACATTCCAAATTTGACATTTAAACGTCAAATAAAAGTTGAGTTTATTCGCTGATATACATGTACAGCTGAGTGAAATAATAAACAAAATCTTAAAGTTCTTTTTTTATCATACAAAATATATCATTAAAATTTGTACAAAATTTTTGGTTTTAGCTCAGCTGGGATCAAGCCTCAATAAAGTGAAATTTCTAGATACAATTCTTGAACATCACATCACATCAAAATTTTGCAAGACAAATACAGTGACAGTACTAAAACCTATGCGTACTGATATAGATGTCCCAATATTGTAGCTTAATAATGTGTTGTAGGGTATAAACCGGTGACAGACTAAATACAGTGCCTGGAGGACTCACCTTAGGTTATAATAAGGTAAATTCCCAGTTAGAACACGTCCAGCGGAAAAAGTCTTCCATGATGAAATCAGTCCTAAACCGTTGATCCTCTTAACAAACCACCAAGCTTTTCTGCAATAGCCAATTTATCTTCTCTTGGCTGGAATTCACAATGTCCGGATCCGACAGCTAGCTCCTTTTCAGTTAGTCTACCTGTAAAATACAAATGAGAAAAAATAATCAATAATCTATTTCAGTACATTTGTGACAGTGTGCATGCAAATGTCAGATGCCTAACCTTGAAAATTGACCCAGGTCTTGCACTCGAAAGTTTTGAAATGTTCGTGATATGCATTCAACTGTTAAATTATAAAATATAGCATGAGAGAATCTGAATGCGTGAAGACTTTTGAAATTCTAGCTCCCATTGCTCAAAGCCTGATTACCTATAAGGAAATCATTACCAAGCATTTTCTAAAATTACATTTTTAAGAAACATCTACGATTCTAAGATTAGTTTTTCATGTTCAAATATCAGAAAACATTATCATTGTGAATCCTTTTTCTAAAATAATGCTACTGATAATTCAATATTTTGTAAATGTACAAGATTAATAATTTGGTAGTGCTGGCTATATGCATGCAATTCCAAATCATTTTTGAATCAGCTCAGTGTGTAGTCAGGATTTAAATATTATAGAATCATTTGACTTCACAGTGTAGACTGATCAAACATGATTTCCATTGAACAATCAGATTCTGCTACATCCCCCCCATCCCTCTCTCTCTCTCCTCCATTCTTTTTCTAAGTCTTGCCCCCACCCCAAAACAAATTGATACTTAAAACCTAGATTCAGGTATCCCCTTTGCCAAGTGCATAAATGATATGATCACTTGTAGTCACCCTAGCTTATAATACAGTTGAGGGATAAACACAAAGGTGCCAGACTGTGATTCGAACCCGAAACCACCAAACTCTAATAGAAGGACGCTCTTATTGAGCTTAACCTGAATCTCATTTGTCAGGTCGCTTGTGACTGCCCTTGCCCCCTGCCCACATTTCAGCTATACATTACTCCCTCCTTCAACAAAATGTTTTCCCCCAGAAACCCTAAACATCTTCTGTTGGTATATTCAGCTGGGTGCCAAATGTTACAGGGAAGGAGAAATACAACCACAAGACCACGATTTGAACCAGGAATCTCCGAACTCTTATCCTCGATATCCACAGGTTATGCTAAAAAAAACTGACCAATCTCTAGGCCGATACCTGTCCTTTGAAGATTACAAAGGAGATTGAGACGTCCGACTTCAAAGCCTGTCAATTTTTACGGTTACATGACCGCGAGATTCTTTTGATGTACATCAAAAGATCGAACTAGTAGTCTTGTCTCATCAACAAGGTGGCGCACATCGAGCCTTCAATTTTGCTATGACATATTCCAGGGGTGTAGAGAGTGAAAGTGAGTGTAACCCCTGGATATTGAGATGCCGAACTCTAGACAGACAGTCTTGCTTCCTACAGTTCTGCTATATTCTCCCACTACATTTAGCCTACATATAATCAATACGTATTATTAAAAGAATTTATTTTGTTACAATGATTACTTTCTTTCATGGTCCCTGATCGGGACTGCATAAATGATTAAAGCCAAGGTTGTAGAGATGTATCTATTACAGTATATAATATATATACACCAAGCTAAGGTTGTAGAGATGTATCTATTACAGTATATAATATATATACACCAAGCTAAGGTTGTAGAGATGTATCTATTACAGTATATAATATATGGGGCAAAGAAGTAATTCCAACAGTGTGGACAAGTTTAGGTTGTCAAATTTTCGGAGCGATCCGCTCCTTTATCAAGACACAGTGAAACAGAACAGTTACATGTACATATACATCATATTACAAGAAGATAGAACTGATATACTATAATTGAAAATATAGCTATTATATAAAACCAATAGTCCCCTCGTCTAAAGACAGCCAAGGCAGCAATTAAGCTGAGAGCATCGCGGACAAGGAACGCCGATAGTCTAAATATCAGAACGCTCGCTGTCTCTGCTCTATGGCGAAAGTGCACTAAGACGACTCGCCCAATGAAACACAACGACGACCCGCCAAATGATAACCAAAATCGGAGGAGAATCCCTCTAGAAAACTTGTTAACTACTAAATATATGTAGAGGACCTATTCTTGCGCAAGATGCACTATCACATAAAGTGAGTCAACGAGAGATAAGCACCAGAGAGAAGGGACAAGATTTCAAAAACGTGGAACATGTACACGTCGGAATCTGGCCCGGTAAATGTGAAAAATCTCAATTTCCTACGGACTGCCCACATTAGTCGCCTCTCAATGCTGCAGTGGATTTAACAGTCACAGCCGGGGGGTCCACACTTAGTCGCCTCTTTCGGTTTACAGGAATAATGCATGTAATTATCAAATAAGTGAGTGCAGGAGGAATGAGTAGATGAAATGGCTAAGATACTGTATAAATCTGCAAAATTAATCTGACAACGGCTGTTGGTCACAGTCACATGCAGCAGCAGGCAGGCGAGATAGCAGACCAACTGTGCAGTAATGCACCATTAGGTCAAATGCAAAAATTTGTCGTCTAAAATATCTCTCTTTTTTGCATTTGTCTTCAAATCTGATCAGGCTATAACATCACTCAGGGCCTTAGCGTCTGTGTTTGTGATCTTACATTAACAAACTACATGAAAATTAAACAGGATGCAACTACAGTAGCTGTCCGGGGAAGATTTCCCCCCCCCCCCCCCCCATCTCATTTAGTCAAATAGTTGGACATCAGTTAAACATTGAAAGTGAGGCAGTATACAACATTGACCTTTCCGGTCAGCTAGGTTATTGTTTGTTAAATGTTTAAACCCAGCTAATAAGTGATTTCCTGACCATGCAGTCAAGATTATGCAGTTGGAATCAATGATGTCATTAACACTTGATGTTCAAGTTTTCTATGCGTTAATAAGAAAATTGCTGACGGATTATATGTAAGTCACAAATTATTTCGACTGATCAATCACATGCCATGAGTTAATATTAAATCTTTTCAACTGATCTCTTTCATCTGGGGGACTTAAGAAGAAGAAGAAGAAGAAGAAGAAACGACCGAATAAACACAATATGTCTCCACACCTCGTTTTGGGGACATAATTAATGTCACACACAATATACAAGTGATTTTGAATGTTAAAAAAAGATAAATCCTGCTCATTTAACTCATTTACCCCTGAAATTTCATAATTAAGTATTCCAACCTTTGAATTGGAAGAGTTCAAATGTGTCTCAGGGGTGAATGATTTAATCCCGACAGCAGTAAAGTTCATTAACCTTCCATCAGTAGAGTTGTGAGCCTTGAGTGGCACGCTAACAGATATTGCATGGACCTATGTTTATTATCTGCAAACATTACAGGTACACATTTTTTCTGAAAATTGACATGTATTCCGAAAGATTGACAGATTATTTTAGAGATACTGGATCACAATTTTCCAGTCTAAAATACGGATGATGCTGAATTCAGGCTAATTACATTACATCTCGAAGGACAAAAATACGGATAATGCTGAATTCCGGCTAATTACATTACATCTCAAAGGGCTAAAATACGGATGATGCTGAATGCAGGCTAATTACATTACATCTCAAAGTACAAAAATACGGATAATGCTGAATTCAGGCTAATTACATTACATCTCAAAGGACTAAAATATGGATGATGCTGAATTCAGGCTAATTACATTTCATCTCAAAGGACAAAAATATGGATGATGCTGAATTCAGGCTAATTACATTACATCTCAAAGGACAAAAATACGGATGATGCTGAATTCAGGCTAATTACCTACCATCTCAAAGGACTAAAATATGGATGATGCTGAATTCAGGCTAATTACATTACATCTCAAAGGACTAAAATACGGATGATGCTGAATTCAGGCTAATTACATTACATCTCAAAGGACTAAAATACGGATGATGCTGAATTCAGGCTAATTACATTACATCTCAAAGGACTAAAATAAGGATGATGCTGAATTCAGGCTAATTACATTACATCTCAAAGGACAAAAATGCAGCGTGTGATGAATGAAGGATTTATTTCAGGAAAGACAAAGATTTTTATTTGAGGTTCTACGGTATTTTTCATATACTGGAAAAAAAATGTACCCTGATTTTTGCATAAACTGCTTCATTGAGAAATTTACGTGTTTATTGCTCAGTGATTTTTTATACTGCATAACCGAAGAAACATTTCTGTCAGTCAAATAATAATCAAATTCAAAATTAAATAAAGACTTTTTGTTTGTTTATGACATGAAGGTGAAAGAAATTGAACACAAAACAGTGTGGTATCATCAGCTAACTGTTAGAAAATGTTCACCGTTTTTTAGGGGGATAGCCAAAATTAAACTTGATACCTTACACATCTTTTTTTGAAACAGAATGAATTTCTACGACAAAACTTGTACCAAAACACCTACATTTCAAGGCAAAAAATGTTTTCAGAATCATTATGGCATCTTACAAAAGGAAAGCTATGTTTGTACCTCAAAAAGTTAATCAAATACTTTATTTTCAACCATTTTGTTTCTCCCAAGAAATGAAAACAACAAAAACTCCACCAGGCCAGGATTATATTTTATATCTAAGGAAGGGCATCTAACTGTAACAGGATAATAATTTTTCCCTCCATTATAAATATTTCGTGATGCGTTTCGCAGGATAATTAGTTTCTTTACAGATAATCCTCATTTTTGTACAAACATTACAGAGTGGAAACAAGCCTTTTATCACGACTACATGCTATGAAATGTCATTTGCGTTATCATGCATCCTTCGACCCCTCAGTAATTAATATTGGAAAAATCCCATCGGCAATCAATCTTAGCCACATGGATGAGTCTAATGTTGTCCTATAGGGTTTATAGGTTTACTGTAAATGTCAAAGCACCATACAAAGAAATGTGATTACGAGGATACTGAGGAGATTGTAAACAATCCCCAAGCCACACGCGAGCATGCACAATTCCGAGCCAAGATCGGAAACACGAAGTCTATGTATCTGCACCAGGGCTGTATTCAATAATGGCAGTTCTAGATCTATAGTATAAGAAATAACAGGATGGAGCAAGATTATGGCAGACATGGTTTTCAACAGTAACATATAAATTGTGTCCA